ATCCCATGTAAATAAATGAAGCGCACTTTCTTCAACAAATGTAAAAAATACTGAAGTCAATTACGCGCTCCGGAGCGCGTAATCCACTCAAACAAAGTTCAAAGCCATTTAGTACCAGCCTAGACTATTGTCTCGTATTGGTCGTACTTCCCATGTAAATATGAAGTAATTAAATGTAACAATGACGCGCTCCGGAGCGCGTACAAATTTCTTCTAACACATGTATGTAATACTGAAGTCAATTACGTGCCTAGGGCCTATAGGGTAAGAAACATGAAACGTAAATGACGCGCGAGGGCGTAATTTGTTCAAATAAAGTTCAATGCCATTTATTACAAGCCTAAACTATTGTCTCGCATGTTGATCCCATGTAACTAAATGAAACGTACTTTGTTCAACACATTCAAATACTGAAGGTGTAATTTACTTTTTAAATGGCATTCAAAACCATTTAACATCAGGCTACGGACTCCATATACCAACATCTTTGTTGGGGCCCTTGGGCTCAGATATGTTCAGATTCATTCCGCAGCTTGATGCTACCATTACTGTGGGCATGTACATGCTCACTTTTATGAAAGCAGTAATCTACTTGTCTAAGTATGTTTTTTCAAATTGTTTATCATTTTTTGTTGGTGGGAAATGGAGACACTATAATGTCACGATTAAGTGCGGTTACATGGACTCGCCATTTTCTTCCATCTCCACTCCCTTCTATTGCCTGTTTGGCGCTGATGGTGATATTTTGCATTTAGGGGAGGAATTGTCCCTACATGATTCCGCAGCTGGATTGGATCAGCCATCAGCTTCGATTGGCGGTGGAATCTTGGCAAAACACAAATCCACTACCTAACTCCCTTGTTGAGTGATTCAAGTTGAATCACTCAAGAGGGTAGTTACGTTTTATCTCACTCCCTTGTTGGGCCCTTTGTGTTCCAATTGATGTCACCTATTCAACAAGAATTACTCAACAAGGGAGTTTGGTTTTTCCTCACTCCCTTGTTGACCCGTTCAACGCGAATCACTCAACAAGGGGGTTAGGTTTTTCCCTACTACCTAATTGAGTAGATTTCACTCATTGCCTAGGATGCCCGTTCAAGAAGAATCACTCAACAGTGGGGTTCGGGCCAATCCCCGTTCAAGAAGAATCACTCAACTCAACAGTGGGGTTCGTTCAAGGCCAATCCCCGTTCAAGAAGAATCACTCAACAGTGGGGTTCGGGCCAATCGCCGTTCAAGAAGAATCACTCAACAGTGGGGTTCGGGCCAATCCCCGTTCAAGAAGAATCACTCAACAGTGGGGTTCGGCCAATCCCCGTTCAAGAAGAATCACTCAACAGTGGGGTTCGGGCCAATCCCCGTTCAAGAAGAATCACTCAACAGTGGGGTTCGGGCCAATCCCCGTTCAAGAAGAATCACTCAACAGTGGGGTTCGGGCCAATCCCCGTTCAAGAAGAGCCACTAAACAATGGGGTTCGGCCAATCCCCGTTCAAGAAGAATCACTCAACAGTAGGGTTCAGACCAATCCCCATTCAAGAAGAACCAGTAAACAATGGGGTTCGGCCATCCCCGTTCACGAAGAGTCACTCAACAGTGGGGTTCGGGCCAATCCCCGTTCAAAAGGAATCACTCAACAACGGGGTTCGGCACTGAACAGTGGGGTTCGGCCAATCCCCGTTCAAGAAGAATCACTCAACAGTGGGGTTCGAGCCAATCCCCGTTCAAGAAGAATCACTCAACAGTGGGGTTCGGGCCAATCCCCGTTCAAGAAGAGCCACTAAACAATGGGGTTCGGCCAATCCCCGTTCAAGAAGAATCACTCAACAGTGGGGTTCAGACCAATCCCCATTCAAGAAGAACCAGTAAACAATGGGGTTCGGCCATCCCCGTTCAAGAAGAATCTTTCAATAGTAGGGTTCGGCCAATCGCCGTTCAAGAAGAATCACTCAACAGTGGGGTTCGGGTCAATCCCCGTTCAAGAATCCCCGTTCAAGAAGAATCACTCAACAGTGGGGTTCGGGCCAATCCCCGTTCAAGAAGAGCCACTAAACAATGGGGTTCGGCCAATCCCCGTTCAAGAAGAATCACTCAACAGTGGAGTTCAGACCAATCCCCATTCAAGAAGAACCAGTAAACAATGGGGTTCGGCCATCCCCGTTCAAGAAGAATCTTTCAATAGCGCTGTTGGAGCGCGTGATTTTCAAGAAGAATCACTCAACAGTGGGAAAGATACAGGGAGTTTCATGGATTCCATGAGGATTCCATGAGGTATAATATATTTGAATTGATAGCGTGGCCTGGTATTCAATGGGTTTTGACTATTGTTTAAAATAATTTTAAAATAAATTGCACTCTCCGGAGCGCAAAATTTATTTGATTGCAATAAGGCCCAAAACAAATGAAAACCAGGTTAAACTATTCTCTTTGATATCAATCGGATGCAAATAAAACAGAATTTACTCAACAAAAATACTACAGCAAATAGAGTTTCATCTCGAGGAAATCCAGTTAACTTGTCACTCCAGCCAAGCCTTCATCTTTGTAAAGCACCCTTTGGTGATCGAACCAACAAAAACTCAATAGTTAATAGGGGGAGTCCGATCTGTGTGCGAAAAAGAAATCCAGCTGATTGCCACCATTTGTTTGTTTGATTTTGTTTGTGGGACTCAAAATTTGGTTTCATCATTTGATTTTCAAGAGGGTCATTTGGACAACCCTGAATTGCCAAGTACTTTTGGGGGGTGCAGTTCCAGTTCTAAGTGGTAACAAAAACCAATAGTTTTGAGGGATTTTCGTCAAAAAAGACTCAGCTGCTCGGGATTAAAACATATTAAAACCATATAAAATCACCTGACATCCCCCAATTCTGCCGTTTTTCACCCGCCCAGGACGAAATCGCAGGCCAATCGACACAGGGTGAAGTTCAGTAGCCCGCAGCTCGGCGAAGCGGCTAAGCCCTGCTAAGCCGAAGCCAGGAGCTGGGTGCAATCCGGAGGGCGCAGGTAAAAATGGCACATACACACATACATTTGTACATATTTATGTGCATCCTTACATTATATATATATACACATGTACTGCGTATTTACCTGTAGCCTCGTTCGTAGCATTTCTTTTTTGTGCATTTGCAATTCGTACCACATTTCAAAAATCGATCACAAATTCCTAGAACATGCCACACGCACAAATCTTCGATTCAGAAATCGCATGTTTTTTTTTCAGTTTTGCATGGTGCATGGCCCCTGCAAAGCTATTTGGGCTAATCTTGACCAAACACGTTCATTTTTTTGGGTCCAAGCCATACAAATTGCAACCCGCGAAACGAGCGCAACAAAAACCGCAAAACGAGCGCAAATTTCCGGAAACGGCCGCAAATTGAAAAAAACGTTAGTTTGGTAATTTTGGGTCGATCAATTTTCCATGTTCATGGTAATTTGATGGAATTTGGATCACTTGGTCACCGTACCTGGCAATTGTCTCCTAGCTCACTTGCTATGCATAAATTCCAGAAACTCGAACACTTTTAAACTTGAGCACATACTCATACGGTCTCGCAGAAATTTCAGAACCGAACCCCGCTTACAAAAAACAACGATACAAATGGGGGTCCAGGTACATATATTTATCTTTGTGCTGTTGGTGTGCTTCTTATGTTCCATATAGTGTATATATATATATGGGTTTGTCCAAAGATGGGCGGTATACCCAAAATTCCATGGTTTTTTGCATCAGTATATCTATAAATTGTCTTGATATTAGAAGGTATACCCAAATTTTTGGACCCCCATACTATACCCCAAATCCACAAACCAAATATGGGCGCTGGTGTGGAGAACTTTTGTTGACCTAACTCTTGGGGTTTCTCAGAGCTATTCATCCAGATTTCACCCAGATTCGAGCGATCATCCCTCATCATTGCTCAAATCCATCAGTTTTGTGGCTTCAAAAACCTGATCAATTCGCAGATTTATTTGAAATTCTTCAAATAGTTCTCCCAAAATCCACCTTAAGCATATTTATATCCAGCTGGTTCAATCAGCACAGCTCGGCTCAGGCAGCTTGCAACGAATTTTACTCGGCTACTTGGTGTCGGACTGGGGCAGCAGATTCTAAGATATTCGGAGGGCACCATAACCAGTATCAACTATAACTTTTTAAACGGATGTTGCTGGGAAAATCGATGAACATCGGTAGATTTTTCCATGTTTTTTCCATGATCCAGCATCACCTGGATTTGCCTGTGTCGATGATGTGGCTTATTTTCTGAAAGGGGCAAATCCACTAGACATGGCGAATCCATTTTTTGGGCAGTTCCTGAAGCAAATCCTAAGATAAGTTCAGACATAACCCCTTGAGCTACTTTAGCTTTAGCATGCTTTAGCTATGGTTAGTGGTTAGTGGAACTATGTGGAACAACATGTTCACATCCCAGCTTCGAATCATCCAAGCCGCAGAGTTTCCATGTGGGGTTGAGAGTAAACAGTAAAAACCATCTTGGAGGTTTTACAATCCTGCTGAGGCAACTTTCCTTTTTAAATCTCCATCCAGGTATGATGCCAAGATATGCCAAGTCATTGGCTGCCACAGGCATTTGTTGCAGTGAATGACAAAAATATCACTTATTGATATTTGATGAGGCTTCTGGGCGCCACTTTCCCTGGAAATTTGTGGTGCTGCATCCGTCATTTCAGGTCATTTCTTTTGGTTTTTGAGGCACATGTCGGACCTGTCGGACTGAGACTCGGGATTTATTGTTCCACAACAATTAATCCCAAATATCAATCCCAAATATGTGTATATCACCATATATCACCATATTAATATGAGTATACCACAATCTATTCTTATCCTAATATGTGTATATCACCCATTATCAATGATACTTCGCATTCTTCCTCCATGTTGGAGATATTTCGTCTGATCGTGATCGTATTTGGTGATAGTTCGCACTTGATAGATATATGTACTGTATATATATATATACTTGATATATACAAAAATATACTCTGATATACTCTGATATACTTGACATTATATACTGGACATACACACATTTTTCCTGGTTGGTGCTTTGGAACCATGGAATGTTTTTTTTCCAGTTGGGAATGTCATAACCCCGAGGCTGGGAGACTTCGATGATCCCAACCTGACGCTGAAAGAAATGGGCGTGGCATCCTTTGCCAACGGCCTTCAGCTCTCGGCCAAGGCGTGCCCTGAAAAAAGGGATGGATTTGGTCACGATGGTTTTTGAGTCCAGCAAAAAACACGGGGAAATAATGGAAAATATGGGTTTCCATGAGTGGTTTGTAGCTGTTAATAGATGTTAGTAGATGTTAGTAGCCTTTGGTGATCGAAATGGGGAAGCAGCCCTGCATGTTGAAGAGGCATTTGCGTGGGGATTTCCATCAGATTTTCAGTAATTTTGGATCATCTGGAGGGGGGTGTATTCTTTAAGGGTGTGGCCTGTTTTTTCTTTGGGCATCGAATGGGGGTAGCCTTTGGTAAGAACATAGCTATGGCAAATCCCCACTTATAATAGGTAAATCAAATATAAATGGGCCATTTTCAATAGCCATGTTAAATTACCAGAGGGTACGATCGCGGTGTCATTTGGATCCCGTGAAACCCTTTCAAACTGGTGAACTATTATGTAAATATGATTTGCATATATATATATGTATATATATATAAATGCACATACACATATCATATATATATATATATCTTGGAATGTGACTAACATTTCTGAGCCTTGCAAAGTAAGAGGACCAACACGAGCCATCCATCCGCGCCAGGCCACCCATGCCAGGTGCGAGAACATCCCTGAACGGAACCTCCTGGTGCCGCTGACAGATGTTTCCTTGGTGGATTCCCCAGGTTTCCCATTTTTCTAGCGGCGCTGTTAGCGACCCCATAGGAAAACATTTTCGATTTTTTTTGGGGGTTTTCCAACTCGGGTGCAATAACGTTTAATAGCATTTGTATTTATAGAAGATGCAATATTACTTGAGGTTCCTTGTAAGGTGCAGGTGATGCCGCGCTACTGAAAGGTGACTTCATCTAATGTAATTTATGCACGGTATGTAATGTTGACTTCTCCTAACATAGATTATGTTTCGCGATGTAAGGTTAAGTTGAGCTACTCGTAGCATACATCATGGTATGCTGCTTAAACAAATCCTGCACTTGCACAGATGTCTTGCACTCTCAGTGGATTGCACTAACGTTGACGCTGACCTGCACTAACATACGTGATGTTACGCTACTAGCTTTTGATCGTGGGGGTTTCGGGTGGGGTGGGGGGGGTGGGGGGGTGCAATAACGTTCAACAGCGCTTGCATACATACAAGATGCTGCGCTACTTCATGTGAACTTCAGTTCGAATAAGATGAGATGCTACTTCAAACTAACCTCTTGTCACATACGTAATGCTACGCTAAATCAAGCACACTTCATGTAACATAGATGTTGCTATGCTACTTGACGTTAACTTGATTTCAATTAAGATGTTATGTTACTTGAAGTTAACTTCATGTAACATAGATGATGCTGCGCTACGTAATGTTAATATGATATCAAAGGCTATAAAATGTTATGTTACTTGAAGTTCACTTCCTGTAACATAGACGATGCTGCGCTACTTAACGATAACTTCATTTCAAATAAGATATCTCTTGTGAGAAAGTTGTTTTTTTTCTCCAAAAAAAACAAGGTCCTGAAAACCGAAATTCCACTGGGCCAAAATGGAAAAAAAAGCTGGCCTTCTTGCAAATACCAACAAATTTGAAGCCTTGAAATTTTGACTTCCACATAAACATGCTCCGAAATGCAGGTTTTGAGCTCTTGCCATTTTGAACAATGTTCAAATTCCTCAGGGTCGCTATTGGCGCCGGTACTTGTGTTTATACGTATATATATATACGTATAAACATCATCGTATTTTAATGATTCATTGAAATAGTCTATGAATGTTTATTCTTTACTATGTTTAATGATGTTTCTCAATGATGTATTAGGAGTCGGAACTTTTCCCTCATAGACATAGGCATCACAAGGGCATCATCCCATGGAGAAGCAAGTCATAGAACTGCTATGGTTTCATCCCTATGAAATCACGATTCGGAATCATTGAAGGATCATGAAAAATCGCCATTCGTGATGATCTTTTTAAATCATCACATCAAATCACCGGGTTTCCTTGAGAAAATCATGGTTAACATCACCACATGTTTCTCCCTCCCATCAAGTGGGCCGATGGCGTGACCCGCGTCGCCAGGACTTGTTGCGGGTCTCGCCAGTGGAATGGGCCGACCAAGGGCCGTTGGATTTCCACGCCGTGGCCTTTGACCTCCTGGCAGACGTGGCCACGCTGCCACCCAGCACCAAGTCCCTGCAGGCCCGGGGATGGGGGAGATGGGGGAGTGGAGGCAGAGAGATTTTCACGTTTTTTTTTTTAAAGATATGATGACGGGAAAAAACACATAGAAAGTAGAATTTTTAGGATATTTTTTTTGGGGATAATAAGTGGAAATGGAGGTTCATGATGGATTCTTCTGTTGCCAGACTGGGGTTCTGGAGGGTATTTGGGTTCAATAGTTGTCAAGATGGGCTTGATACCCAAGTCATGATGAAGACTAGTTACTGCTTTTACCACATGATGTTTTTTGGGGGGTGGTCCCCTGAAGAAATGGCATCGATGTACGGCTATGAAACACGGTTGCCCCTAGCATGGAGCAGCCTTTTTTTTTTCCGTATTATTTGTGTTTGGAGGGGGAATAATAGGATGGTTTGAATCAGATATTTGATGAGTTTGCATAGTTAAACATGGGATGAAACAGAAGCCGTAATTCTTTGTTCCCGACAGCTGGTGAACCCATCTCAGGGTCTAGTGGTGCGACAACTCGCCCCATTGATATGGCCAACAGCCTCCCAGTTCCTCGATGGTGTCCAAGACTAGGCCTATGAATGCCCAAACTCTAGGCATTGTGCCAGCTCCGCCAGAAAATCCAGGATCCACACTTTAGCCTCAGTTCTTTGCGGTGGCTTGCCGCAACGTCATGGTCTGACTCATCTGACCACTTTTTGGAGAAATCCTGGTCTGTTCCCAAATTCAAACCGTGGTCTCACAAGCCGGGTTCGGTTTGAATCATAGAAACAACATTATGTATAACTGTATACCCCATTAAAATGAATAGAAAACCATTAAAACCAATCTAATTCCGTAAAAACCAACTCAAATCCATTAAACCTCATCAAAGCTCATCGAACTCCATTAGCACCCATTAAACCATATGCCATATTTATATACATATATTAAAACCGATTAAACCCATTAAAACTGCATCAAATGCAATTAAAACCAATGAAATTCCATTAAAACCAATTGAAGTCCATTAACACCAATTAACGTCAATTATATAGAATCCATAAACGCCCTTAAAGAGCAACTAAACCAATTAACACCGATTAACCTCCATTACAACCAATTTAAACCATATTAACATAAATCTATTAAACCCTATCAAAACCAATTTTAAACTCTTTTAAAACCCATTAAAACAATTAATATTCCATTACCACCAATTAGAGCCCATTAAAATCAATTTAAACACCAATTAAATCTATTAAAACCCATTTAAATGAATTAAAACAACAAACCCCATTAAAACCCCATTAAAACGCAATTAAAACACCATAAAACCACCATAAACTTCCGAAAGGTTACCCTCGAAGCGCGGCTCTGGGGCCTCACCAGCGCGCCCAGCAGCGGGCTGCTGGAGCTCCCCGTGGTGAACCCAGGAACCAGCCGCTTCCTGAGCTCTCCAAGGGTCTTCTGGATCCAGGTCAGCTATCCCCAGCTGGTAATGACTGGTAAATTATAGGAAAATGTTAGGAAAATGTTGGGAAATCCACCAAAAAATGGAGAAAATGTTAGGAAAATGTTGGGAAATCCACCAGGTAAATTAACAGATATAGACCCTGGAAATCACCCATTTTTCATGGTGGAAACTCAAGTCTTCCAACCCCGATGACTGCCAGGGTCGAACTGTTAATTTACTGGAGGGTAATGACTGTTACACTTTGCGAACTTGAAAATATGGCCCAGTCTTAAATAGTGGATTTACCCTTGAAAATAGCATGGTGCTTTTCCATATTTTTTTGTATGTTTACCAGAGGCTATGCATCCCCTGCTGCAAAATCCTTCAGTTCTTTGCGAAAAGAACTAGAACCAGCGGAAGTTTTTTTTTTTTTAAATTGCGTGGGCTATATACCAACGATTGACTACTTATTACAAAACATGAAAAATCATGTGGGAAACACTGGCCGGCATAAACCTAACATTTGGGGGATGGCTTAATTATAGCATCCATAAAAATGGTGATGACTTTTGGATGGCATATGGGAAAATAGTAAACATCATTACCCTGGTTGATTATTCCAAGGTTATTGGGGATCAGTACAGCCATGGTTTGTTCTTCTTGGAAGAAGTTGACGACTGTCGGGTGATCCGGTCCTTTCAAAAATTTCACCCTTATTGGACCCAGGTGTTTTGATAAAACATATTGGACCATCATGTGTTTTTTTTGAAAATGTCATGTTTACCGTCTCCAAGTCATGGCCGGTTTATTTTTGTTGGCGGTATAAACCATTCCCAAATAGTAGGTTAAAGATCATGTTTGAAAGCCTGGCTGCCATAAACCTATCATTAGGGGGGATTGCTAAAAAAATGCACCCCGAATTTTATGGGCATGACTTGGGGGTTGGGTTTGGAGTTACACTGCCAACGTTATTAGGGATCATTATAACCCTAAGGAAACCGTTTCAATTCAAGTACTATAATGAGATGGGATAGGGGTATATGTAAGGGCTCAGGTGGTTTGATGGAGATGATGGCTAAGACTGAATGTATCTAGGGTCTATGGGGTATAGTTACACAATATCTTCTTGAACAACCTATAGTAGATATACGATTCACGATCAACTCCCATCATTTGCGCCGCTTCTGGAAGAGTTCGACGGGATCATGATCATGATCATCATCATCATCATCATCATCATCATCAAGAACAACGACAACATCATTGGTATGATCATCGTCTTCTTCTAACAGAATCCTTGAAAATTGGTTCAAAATGCACAGTTCCAGCACTTTTGTTTGCACTAACAGTTCAAACAGAGTCCTGACAAACCGTTGCAAAATGCAAAGTTCAAGCAATCTTGTTAGAACGAACAGCTCCTAGCAAATTGCTGCAAAATGCACCCACCCACCCCAACTTAAACCATGATACAGTAATTAGATCATCTCGGGCGCAGCATCAAAGTTTTGCGCAAGGTCGAATGAGCGTTATAGTCGCCCCATCCCACCCAACCCCACTGATGCAGCATCAAAGTCTTGTGCAAAGTCGGGTGAATGTTAGCATCCCCTCACCCCACCCCACCCCACCCCACCCCACCCACTGTGAGCCTAGCATCAACATCTTGTGCATGGTCGAGGGAACGGGAACGTGGGTCAAGGGAACGTGGCCGAGAGAACGTTAACATCTCCATCCCACCCCACCCCACCCCACCCCACCCCACCCACTGTGAGCGTAGCATCAACATCTTGTGCATGGTCGAGGGAACGGGAACGGGGTCAAGGGAACGTGGCCGAGAGAACGTTAACATCTCCATCCCACCCCACCCCACCCCACCCCATCCTACCTATATACCCCATGTAAACTGTGGGGCAAATGGTGGGCGTTGCGTCTAAATATACCACTAAGGTAAACTAACACAGATGTGGAAAACCAACGTTTTTCCTTGGACATGATCTGCAAATGGTGGGATATCCCCGGTATAATTACGATTATGGGATACTAACGCTAAACTACATATGCCCACACGTTGACCAAGTTCTGTGCGTCAACTTGGAACATATTACAATCAGGGTTCGATGGGGTTAGAAAATATAACTAGGGCGCACCACCTTGTATTAACATTATGGTATCTGGGGGGGATGAACATCCACAACTACCAGCTATATCCATGTTTGCTAAATCCGAAAAGACATCGGTGCCATAAAAACTGATGGGGATGGTTTATGGCATTGGGTGTGCCACATTGCCATATGTGCGAATCATTTTTCAGTATTTTCAGTAAGAGTCAACTCAATGGTGTGGTAACGAAAAAATCATGGTACAATGGCAAAATACTTCCAATATTTGCCAATACATTTCCAGTAGAATATTCTTCAAAAAAAAAGGTGTGGCCCAAAAATCGACGGTAGAAGTGGCAACAGCTATCTTGGGCTCCAATTGGATGGTGAAATCTGGCAGTCTGGAATTGCACAACCGGAGATAACTGGAGTAGAGTGTATGGTACCGCAAAAAAAGTCCAATCTGGTGGGTGGTTTGGAACATGAATTTTATTTTTCTATATATTGGGAATACTCATCCCAACTGACTAATACTTTTCAGAGGGATTGAAACCACCAACCAGCAACGTTTTTTTGGTGTGTATATAGAGCTCTTAGAACTGATTCAATTGATTCCCTTGTCAAGATCCCCATCAACTTTGGTGAGGTTTCCAGGGGGTGCATCCCACGTAGTAAATGGGTCATACCCCCAGCTATATATAATTATATATATATATATATAAATATATATATATATACAATTATGTATTATATATATATATATATGGAACATCTCCAGTGATATATGGGATTACAATGGGTTACATGGGTTATATGGATTATAAACCACTTCCAATGAGTTGCTTTTGTCCCTTTCCATCGGCAGGTGATCACCGTGCTGTGCTTCCTACTTCTTGGCCTGGCGTATTTCTGGAAGAACCGGTGGCCCGGTGAATGAAACGTGGCTGGGAAAATCCCCGAAATATGATGGCTGGTTGGTAAATATAGTGGTTTATAGTGGATTTTCCCATTAAAAATGGTGATTTTCAATAGCTATGTTAGTCATTACCAGAGGGTATATGATGTATATGATGTATAACTGGTTGGTGGTGACTGGAACCATGGAATTTTGAATCACTTTCCCATCATATTGACATATTAGGAATGTCGTAACCCCAACTGACGATTCGTCATATTTTTCGGGTAGGTACACCACCAACCGGTGCATAGCTGTGAAACTCCTCGAAGATTGGCTGGTTGATTTCCAATTGCAACGTTTTTTTTTGGGGCCATCTGGAGGCAAATCCTGGTGATGGTCCGCCGAAATTGGGGCCGCTATAATGTCAAATCTGGATGAACCCCTGGTTAGTCTGAGGCTTCTCTGATGAGCGGGTTGAGATTCAATTGGACCCAAGACAATTTGATTGGGAAGTCCGCTAGCTGAATCTATTCAATTTTCAAGCGGATTAAAATCTATTACTGGGGCTTTTCATGGCCCGTTTTTGCGGGTTGCATGGCTTTGGGTGAATCTCAGGGATCATGATCCCAAGTTTTGCTGCTTCACCACCACCATTTTTATCATTTCTTATCATGTAGTTTCCCAATTTCCAAAGACATTTCATCACCATCACCATCACCATCACCATCACCATCACCATCATCATCATCATCAGCATCATCATCATCATCATCATCATCATCATCAGCATCATCATCATCATCATCAGCATCATCATCATCATCAGCATCATCACCATCATCATCATCAGCATCAGCATCATCTCAATCAGCATCATCATCATCATCATCATCATCACCATCACCATCACCATCACCACCATCATCACCATCATCATCATCACCAGCATCATCATCATCATCAGCATCATCATCATCAGCATCACCATCACCATCATCATCATCATCACCATCATCATCATCACCATCATCATCATCATCATCTTCAGCATCATCATCATCACCATGATCATCATCATCATCACCGAAATCATCATCATCACCACCAAAATCAGCATCATCATCATCATCATGATCATCATCGCCATCATCATCATCAGCATCATCATCAGCATCATCATCATCATCATCATCAGCATCAGCATCATCATCATCATCATCAGCATCGTCATCATCATCATCATCATCATCATCATCACCATCATCATCATCAGCATCATCATCATCATCAGCATCATCATCATCATCATCATCGGCATCATCAGCATCATCATCATCATAATCATCATCATCATCGTCCGCATCATCATCATCAGCATCATCGCCATCAGCATCATCATCATCATCACCATCACCATCACCAGCACCATCATCATCATCATCATCAGCATCATCATCATCAGCATCATCATCAGCATCATCATCATCATCAGCATCATCATCATCATCAGCATCATCACCATCATCATCATCAGCATCAGCATCATCTCAATCAGCATCATCATCATCATCATCATCACCATCACCATCACCATCACCATCACCACCATCATCACCATCATCATCATCACCAGCATCATCATCATCATCAGCATCATCATCATCAGCATCACCATCACCAGCATCATCATCATCAGCATCATTATCATGACCATCACCAGCATCATCATCATTATCATCATCAGCATCATCATCATCAGCATCATCATCATGATCATCACCAGCATCATCATCATTATCACCATCAGCATCATCATCATCATCATCATCATCAGCATCATCATCATCATCATGATGTTTGTTTGTGTCCTGTCATCCCATATCACCCCCACATGTTTCACATTGTTTTCCTTGGGCCTTGGCAGGGAAGCCCTTCGTCACAGGTAAAGGGCCAAACTTTTCAGGTCGGTGAATTTTTCATAGTCTAATTTCCCCAGACTCACCCACATTTTTTTTCATTGTTGATGCCCGCCAATTTTCCTATGATATTGGGGATGCAACCTGCTTTCCCCTTGGGTTTACAGCACCAGACCCCTGGTTTTTGGGAATCTCAACCGCAGGCAACTCCGGCCGCGATCAGCGGCGCGGCAGTCAGTCCGGGCGCGGCCCACGGTGCCCACGGTGCCCACGGTGGCCCCGCGGCCGTTGCGGCCGCAGGAAGTCGAACTGCAGAGTGCCGTTGCACGGCCCGAAAAGGTGTGAAAAATTCAGAGAAAATCGGCGGATTTGGGATGTTGACCCTGAAGCGACAAAGATATGGAGATTTCACCAAGAGAACCGCACTTGAATAGCATGATGGTGGTTGATCTGATGGGCAACCGGGGCAGTCAAAATAGGTGATATGAAGCACGAAAACAGATATGATTCAACGATCGAAAATGTAGTATGACAAAATATGATAAATCCAACTGGGGTTGAACACCGTTTGGGCTTGAGACTGCCAGATGTGCTTTGAAAACCCCAGCGCCAATGCAGAGACTTTTGAAGTCCTTCCTGGAAAGAGGTGGCAGACCACTTGAGCATGTCAACCGTCAACGCCTTTTACACCATATTTCCCAAGGGGATTTTTGCACCCTCTTCCCATCTATCAAGGATTTCTTTGCTGAACACCGCCCATCGCTGCCATCGCTTCCTCCACGGGCACCTCATGGCCCTTTGGGAGATTACTCTTGGCCATAGATTCCAGTCATCACTTTGGCACCTGAGCATCCCCCCATTCTCAATGGAAAAAAAACCCTTGGTGAAGCTTTCAAAGAGTAATCCATTTCCATCCTAAAGAATGGGATGCAGGCAGAATGGCACAACGGCGTTTATGACCCAAATAGCTTGAAACCAGCACCTTACTGGGAGGCGTCTCCCGGCGTGGAATCCGATGAGCCATCCCAGGGAAAATCAGGTTACTCACAAGCAAACTATATAATGACTGTAGCAGCTTTACAGGTAGAACCGGTATAAAACATTTCTAGAACTTATAAGTTTTCCCAGGTTTGTAAAATCATCATCTTAGCAGCTTTACAGGTAACCCATGGTAACCCTAGAACTGCGAAAAAAAATATCGCCAAGTCGGGCGAAAAGAAGAAGGTCACCACCTCGATTCGCCTCCTGGGCACCTCAGATGAGGTAAAAG